TACCCCCCCGTGGGTCACACACCCCCCCGGGGGGGCAACATGCCCACCGCTGTGCCCTGGCACAGCACCCGCAAGACAGCACGGGCAGTGGAGATGCCAGTGCCGATGCCAGCACAGTGACGCAGGTTCGCACTGGTGCAAGTCTGGAAAGCAGTGCCTGACTGCAGCGACAAGGGGAAGAGGGTCTGCCTAGGGTGAAATCAAGCACGGGGGCTGCTTTGCACCCCACAGCTCTGCCCACAGCTTCTCTCTTGACTACTTGACACAGCACCCTAGCAAGGGCACAGGAAGACTCACCCTCTACCAATGTCAGACCAAGCCCTTGGTCAAGGGCTGCCCATTTCCAAAGACCTTGCCAGCTCCAGTGACTTTGAGAGCCACCCACCGAACGGAGGTCTGGTCTCTGGGCTGGTCTTCACCTGCTCTGGAAGACATGAGTAAAGAGGAGAAAACAAGATACAAGAAATTTGTCCAGATGCTGAGGCTTGGAAAAGAGCAGCAGGACTCTCTGCCCGCTGCTTCCTTAAATGAGAGGTCTCCCAACGGAGGCAGAGGCAGGCATGGTCCTCCTGGCAGACAACTGGACACCCAGAGGCTTCCACAAACAGAATACCACTTTAATCCTTCTAAGGCACAGAATCATAGAATCACAACATGGCAAGGGTTGGAAGGGACCTCCGGAGATCATCAGCTAGTCCAACCCCTCTGCTACAGCAGGCTCGCTTAGTTGCCATTAGTGTCCCACGTTGCCATTAAAGATGCACAAAATATCAAAGGCCTCTCAAGCAGAGGCGTGAGCCTACAAATGCAAAGAGCGCCCACAGTTGCTTTAACTCAACAGCACAGGTCGCAAGGCCTTGACAAGTGTCCTTGTGGGGTCCTCAACTCTGTATAGAGGTCTCAGACAGAGCTCTGTCCCCCACGGGAACTCAACACATAGAAGGGTCAAGCTTCACCCCTTCCATTTGAGGGAGAAAGAGAGTAACAGGGCAGCAGGGAGGACACGCTTCTGGCTTGCACAGCAAATTCTGGAAGTACAAAATCTTCTGGCCTCCGGTCATCATCTCAAGCTGCACGGTAGTCGGAGAACACACTCGATTCTAAGCAAGCCGCATTTGCACATGGCCAGCTGGGCCCAGAATCACAGAGGCAGGATGTGCCTGCCTTAAATTCCAAGTGCCAAGCACAGACCTGCATGCCTACCGCACAAGAACACAAACAAATGTGAACACACACGTGGCGTGGAGATCTTGAGCAAATGATTTATGAGTCTGTGCCTGCCTCGCTAGCTGAGCTTTATTTTCCTCATTATGTTATTCAGGTGAGCGTTATTATACTTCATTTCTGAAGAATATCGCATTAACATTTAGCACAGGCCACCATGGGCCAAATGTCCCCCAGCACAAAGCCCTCACCCCCACGCTTCCTACCTGCTGCTAATGACAGACTAAGAGCTGTCGGCTCCATGACCCACTGGACTCAAGAAATCTGCTGGAGCCACATGCAGCAATGGACACCAGACAGGCAGCACACAGGAGGGGGCAAAGCTCCCACTGCCTCCTTCAGCTTCTCCCTCTCATTCGTCCTCCTGGCTGGATGCATACCTTCCCTTTCCAAACACAGCCGTGCTTACCTTCCACAGCCCACAGCTCTCACAGACGATGTTTCTCTCTCTGCATTGCTCTCCTTCTCACAAGCACGCAGCCTTTGTTAGCTTGCTTTCTTTGGGGTTACTGGTGGGAAGCAACTGGCCAACCTGATGGGGGCACAAAGCTACGCTGACCACTGGAGCATTACATGCTACAAAGCACAGCAGCCACGTTTCCTGAATAGCCCTCGGGGAGCAGCAAGGAGAGACCCAGTGGTAAGAGAGTCACTGCAGCCCAGGGGAGCCTAGAGGTTTCTAGGGAAGAGGCAGGGGTGAGAGGCATTGCTGGCGAGTGTCTAGATTACACCCTACCCCATCCCCAGCATCTGGTCAGTACAGAGAAATGGGGAACTGCGCTCTGTTTAGGCTTCCTCCCCGCTTTCAAGGAAATGCTCCCCCACCTCTGTAGCACTCCTGGGATCAAGGACCTAAAGAAAATTCCTGGCCCTGCTAAAGTCAGAGGAAGCTTTGCTATTGGCTTCACCAAGGCCAAAATGCACCATTCGTCTGACCACACCCCAAAAAAACCCCTTTTGGAGGCGAACTAGCTCCCCACATTTACACCGATGCCCAGTATGAGCGATCAGCTCAGCAATCTGGTAGCCATTTTCTCCAAGGAGGAGCAGTGACCCCTAGCTTCCTCAGCT